CCTGTATAGAGCCACCATGATTCTTACAGTTGGGGGAACAATGGATGATGCCATCCATCAGCTGGCTATGACTTCGTTTCCCAAGAAGCAGGACTGACTTTAGTCATCTCAGGAGTGCCTTGGATCAGTTTCGTTCAGCTCTCTATGGACCAGTAACCTGACAAGTAGCTGTTCTTTGGGGATCAGTGTTTATTGACTTGTACTAACTGCCACCAATAAAGCAGTCTTTACCAAAAATAAATAAATAATTTTTTTTTGCTTTTTACTGTACATGTAAGGAACACATATACTATAAAAAATCATGAATGCCGGGTTCAGTGGCTCAGCCTGTAATCCCGTGCCTTTGGGAGGCTGAGGTGAGTGGATTGCCTGAGTCCATGAGTTCAAGACCAGCCTGGGCAGCTTGGCGAGACCTCATCTCTACAATAAATCAAAAAATTAGCCGGGTATGATGGTGTGTGCCTATAGTTCTGGCTACTTGGTAGGCTAAGGCAGGAGAAACACCTGAGCCCAACAGGTTGAGGCTGTGGTGGCCGTGAGCGTGCCACTTCACTCTAACCTGGGTGACAGAGTGAAACTCCAACTCAAAAAAAAAATCCTATTGGGAACCTGAGAAGAAGGTGGTATTACCACCTTGCCCAGGTTACCACATAAACTGGGATTTATAATCAGTTCCTCGGTCTGGCTTGGCGGCTCAGCCTGTAATCCCAGCACTTTGGGAGACCGAGGCAAGTGGATTGCCTGAGCCCGTGAGTTCGAGACCAGCCCGGGCAACTTGGTGAGACCTCGTCTCTACAATAAATCAAAAAATTAGCCGGGCATTGCAGCATGCACCTATAGTTCCAGCTACTTGGAAGGCTGAGGCAGAAGGATTGCTGGAGCCCAGCAGGTTGATGCTGGGTGGCCAGGAGCGTGCCACTGCACTCCAGCCTGGGTGATGGAGTGAGACTCCAACTCAAAAAAGTAAAAATAAAATCAGTTCCTCTTGGTTCCAGCTCCATATTGCCAGCCCCACATTGCCTCAAGATTAGATGTGGTTTTGGGATTAAAGTTTAGTAAGAACATGTGAAGCTTCACTAAGTATGTTTGTGTGGATTTCTCTGAGATCCTGCCCTAAGGTGTCCTTGCTCATACACTTGTAATACTTGTAACAGCATGTTCATCACATTATCCCTTCCTGCTTGGATGTCTTATTTCCTATTTCGCACAATCTAGTGGCATGAAGAAAGTACAGTCTGCCCTGGATAAAAAGGTTTATGAGAAATACAGTAAGTTCCATACATATAAACCTTCAAGTTGTGAACTTTCGTTCTTTTTTTTGAGTTGGAGTCTCACTCTCTCACCCAGACTGGAGTGCTCATGGCCACCGTAGCCTTGACCTGCTGGGCTCAGGTGGCTCTTCCATCTCAGCCTTCCAAGTAGCTGGAACTACAGGCAGGCACCACCATGCCCGGCTAATTTTTCGATTTATTGTAGAGATGAGGTCTTGCCAAGTTGCCCAGGCTGGTCTGGAATCTATGAACTCAGGCAATCTTCTCACCTCAGCCTCCCAAAGTGCTGGGATTATAGGCATGAGCCACCACACCTGGCCCAAGTTGTGAACTTTCAAAGATGCAAACGTGCATTTGCATGTCCAATCACATAAGTTAGTTCTTGTGCCTGGTGTATATTGTCACATGCATGCAAGGTACTGTACTATAAAATTAAAAATTTTTTTAAATGTATTATTTGTTAAAAATATTATAAACCTATTACACTACAGTACTGTACAGCCAGTTGTGTTAGTTGAGTACCTAGGCTAGCTTTATTGGATTTACAAACAAATGGGACTTCGGAAAGTATTCTTGGAATGGAACTGGTTCATATGTAGGGAACTTACTATAAAACCATTTGGGCCATTGAGGTCATAGTTAGTGTGGACCTGACAGAACTTGACCAGAACTTATGCTAATGTAAAGTAAATTTGGGTCTTTAAAAAGGCCAGCCTGCTGGGCGCAGTGGCTCACTCATGTAATTCCAGCACTTTGAGAGGAGGAAGCAGGAGGATTGCCTGAGCCTAGAAGTTTGATACCAGCCTGGTCAGTTTGGTGAGATCTCATCTCTACAATAAATTAAAAAATGAGCCAGTTGTGGTGGCGTGCTCCTGTAGTCTCAGCTACTTGTGAAAAGGCTAACCTGAGCCCAGGAGGTCACTGCAGTCCAGTCTGGGTGACAGGGATATCTCACACACACATGCACACAAATATATATATATATATATATATAATGTTTTGTTTTGTTTTTTGAGTTGGAGCCTCACTCTGTTGCCCAAGCTGGAGTCCAGTGGCACGCTCATGGCCACCATAGCCTCAACCTGCTTGGCTCAGGTGATCTTTCCGTCTCAGCCTTCCAAGTAGCTGGAACTATAGGCATGTGCCACCACACCTGGCTAACTTTTTTTTTTTTTTTTTTTAATTGTAGAGATGAAGTCTCAAATCCGTGTGCTCAGGCAAGCCTCTTACCTCAGCCTCCCAAAGTGCTGGGATTATAGGCGTGAGCCACTGCACCTGCCCTATGTATATGTTTCAAGGGGTAAGGTTAAGAGAGAGAAACTTTAAAATACATTTTAAGGTTGGGGTGCTCAGTTACAGCATCATGGTATTAAAACTGTAAATTCACAGGTAACAAATTGCCTCACAGACTTTAAAAGCATAACTAATGTAAAATCATTGTTAGTCCAAAGTTGTTGTTGGGTTTGTTTGGTTTTTTTTTAGTCAGAGTCTCACTCTGTCACCCAGGCTGGCATGCAATGGCACGCTGCTCACAGTGACCACAGCCTCGACCTCCTGGGCTCAGGCAATCCTTCCACCCCAGGCTTCCAAGTAATTGAAACTACATTACATGCATGTGCCACCACACCCAGTTACTTTTTGATTTATTTTAGAGACAAGGCCTCACCATGTTGCCCAGGCTGGTCTCAAACTTGTCGGCTCAGACAGTCCTTTCGCCTCCACCTCCCAAAGTGCTGGGATGATAGGAATGAACCACCACACCCAACTTGTTGTCAGGTTTTGTTCCACTTACAACGTTGAGTTTGAGGAAAGTTAGCAATAACTATTTTAAGTTTGGCTTGGTCATATTAATAATAGGAAGCCTGCCAGGTACAGTGGTTCATGCCTGTCATCCCAGCACTTTGGGCAGCTGACATGAAAGGATCACTTGAGCCCAGGCGTTCAAAACCAGTCTGGGCAATATAGTGAGACCCCCATCTCTATTTTTAAGAAAAAGTAAAAAATAATAATAGGAAATTATTTTAAAGGTTTAGTCCCAATACTAAAACATTGTTGAAAAACAGTGGCCGGGTACGGTGGCTCATGCCTGTAATCCCAGCACTTTGAGAGGCAGAGGCAAGAGGACTGTCTGAGCTCATGAGTTCGAGACCAGCTTGGGCGACATGGTGAGACCTTGTCTCTGCAATAAATCAAAAAGTTAGCCCAGTGTGGTGGTGTGCACCTGTGGTTCCAGCTACTTGGAAGGCTGAGGAGGAAGGATCACCTGAACCCAGCAGGTCAGGGCTGTAGTGGTTGTGAGCATGCCACTGCACTGTATCCTGGGTGACAGAGTGAGACGCCGACTCAAAAAAAAGGAAAAAAAAGCCGGGCTCGGTGGCTCAGCCTGTAATCCCGCGCCTTTGGGAGGCTGAGGTGAGTGGATTGCCTGAGCCCACGGGTTCGAGACCTGCCTGGGCAGCGAGACCTCATCTCTACAATAAATCAAAAAAATCAGCTGGGCGTGGTAGCGCATGCCTGTAATTTCGGCTATTCGGAAGGCTGAGGCGGAAGGATCGCCAGAGCCCAGCAGGTCAAGGCTGCGGTGGCCGGGAGCGGCCACTGCACTCCAGTCTGGGCGACAGAGTGAGACTCCAACTCAAAAAATAAAAAAGGAGTTGCATACAGTAGGGAAGATAGGCAGTCACGAGGGTGGAATTCCAGACACGCAGGCACAGTTCACCAACATGCGGCTCCATATGTCACGTGTACACAAGATGGCAGTGATTTTCCTATAGAGGAGGGATTTTTAGCATTATAATAATATGCTAATGAGCTAAAGGTACCGGGGTGGGGGGAGGGGCGCCTGCTCTGGTCTGTCCTGGTCTCACCGTGGGTCCGGGCCTCCTCAGATATCTGACAGGGGGTCAGTTGGCCATTTGTGACATTCTGGCTTGCACTCTGGCTTCCTTAAGCAGCTGTGACTATAGATAAAGAGAGTAAAGGAAAACTTGTTAAAAGTTTTCCCCAGGAAGAAGGGATTGGGAAGCTCAGAGGTGCAAGGGTGGCTGCTTCAGGATTCCCAAACAAGCACATGATTAGGCATTAACTACAGCAAAAACAAGAAATGAGTGAGAAATGGCTTTTGGGGCAGTCTGGTAACATTTATACTAATGTTCTTAGAAATTATCCTAAAAGGAAGCAGCTGAGGCTAATGGACGACAAGGGGAAAGTTTATTTGGGCCATACTAAGTGCCATACTTGTGTCTCCTGGACCTGTATATCTCACAGAGCTCAGACTGCTCTGAACTATCTTTCTTTTCTCAAAATTGATGGGACCAGACCGGGCACAGTGGCTCACGCCTGTGATCCTGGCACTTTGGGAGGCTGAGGCAAGAGGATCAACTGAGCCCAGGGGTTTGAGACCAACTTGGGCAACTTAGCGAGACCTTGTCTCTACAATAAATTTTTTAACAATTAGCTGGGCATGGAGGCCTGTGCATGTAGTTCCAGCTATTTGGAAGGCTGAGGCAGAAGGATCACCTGAACCCAGCAGGTCAAGTTTGCAGTTGCCATGAGTATGCCGCTGCACTCCAGCCTGGGTGACACTCTGACTCAGAAACAAAAACAAAACCAAAAACAAACAAAAATTGAACAAACATGCTAAATGAGCCTGCTCATTGCTTAGCCAAGTTTTCCAGACTGAAAATGGAAGTGAGATACACTTGCCTTGGGAAACTTGGCTAGCCATGCATGGCAGACTACCAGACAGACATGAATCTGTTACGTAAACATACTGAAGTGAGGATCAACTCTGGGACCAAACAACCTGCAAAGAGGCAGGTAAGTCTCTGAAAAGAAGATTCCTGGGTTTTTATTTATTTATTTATTTTGAGAGAGAGAGTCTCACTCTGTCATCCCCACTGTAGTGCAGTGACACAATCAAAGCCCACCGCAGCCCTGACCTCCTAGGCTCAGGTGATACTTCTGTTTCAGCCTCCCAAGTAGCTGGGACTACAAGTTCATGCCACCATGCCCACATAATTTTTTTTTTTTTTTGGTAGAGATGAGGTTGTCCAAGCTGGTCTCAAACTCCTGGACTCAATCCTCCCGCCTTGCCCTCCCAAAGTCCTGGGATCACAGGTATGAGCCACAATGCCCAGCTGGGTGTTTCTTTTACATGATAGAACAATTCCCAAATGGGAAAACCACACCCCTGAAAAAAGAACTTTTAACTGAGGAATATGAGTCCTTTTAAATGATAAGACCCATTATAGTGGCTCATGCCTATAATCCCAGCACTTTGGGAGGCAGAGGTGAGAGGATTTCCTGAGCTCAGGGGTTTGAGACCAAGCTGAGCAACATGGTCAGACCTTGTATCTACAATAAATCATAAAGTAAGCTGAGCATGGTGTTGCACGCCTGTAGTCCCTGCTACCTGGAAGTCTGAGACACAAGGATCACATGAGCCCAGCAGGTCGAGGCTACAGTGGCCATGAGTGTGCCACTGCACTCCAACCTGGGTGACAGAATGAGGCTCTGACTCAAAAATAAAAAAATAATAAATTATCATCCCCAGAGAGGCATTAAAATGAGATAGTAGTCATGTCCTACTCCCTCCTTAGAGCTGTGTATTCATCTCTTGAAACTGTTTACTGTTACCACAAGTAGCTATAAATTGACCTAATCATGCCACACCAGACTCTAACCCACATGCTTGACAACATGTAGCCAATCACTAATCAATGTTATTTCTGTAAACCAATGAAAATACCTGACAAAATAGTGTGACAGCCCACTTCCTGCCCCTTTTTGGCCTTTAAAAAACCTGGCTGAGGTGAGAAGATTGCCTGAACCCAGGGATTCAAGACCAGCCTGGGTAACTTGGCAAGACCTCATCTCTACAATAAATCAAGAAAAATTAGCCGGGCATGGTGGCATGTGCCTGTGGTTCCAGCTACTTGAAAGGCTGAGGTGGATTGCCTGAACCTAGCAGGTTGAGGCTGCAGTGGCTAGGAGCGTGCCACTGCACTTCAGTCTGGGTGACAGAGTGAGACTCTGACTCAAAAAAAAAGAAAAAAAAAAACCTGCTCGTAACAAAGGCCAAACGAAGCTTATATCTAAGGTGACTTGGGCCTGAGTCTTCCAGGCTGCTTTCCTCACTTGGGCACAAGCAAACATTCTAAGTTATATTTTGTGCCTCAGGCCCTTCCTGAGGTCGCACCCCTACGACCTCACATCTCATCTCCAGCTCCTCCTCCTCCTCCATTCTGTGGCAGCTATCCTGGGTTCCTCAGAGTTCCTTGGGCTTCTGTGACATCTGCCTTAAACTCTTTCCCCAGAAGTCTGTGTGGCCCACTTCTTCACCGCATTCAGCTCCCTGCTGAAATGTCACCTGCCCACCCTATTTGAAATAGCTGTGTTTACATCTAGCTACATTTTATGTTCAAAGGTACCAAGTGAAACTGAGATTCTGAGCCGGGCATGGTGGCTTATGCCTGTCGTCTCAACACTTTGGGAGGCAGAGGCAAGAGAATTGCCTGAGCTCAGGAGTTTGAGACCAGTCTGAGCAACACAGCGAGACCTCGTGTCTACAATAAATCAAAAAATGAGTCGGTGTGGTGGCACCACTTGTGGTTCCAGCTACTGGGAAAGCTGAGGCAGAAGGATCGCCTGAGCCCAGCAGGTCGAAGCTATGGTGGCCATGAGCATGCCACTGCACTCCAGCTGGGTGACAGTAAGACTCCTATGAAAAAAAAAAAAAAAAACTGGAATTCTAAAACCCTAATTTGAACATTTCATGTTTTCATGTGTAACTCAAAAAACTTATTAAAGATTTCTAGCCAGGCATGGTGACTCGTAGTTCCAGCTATTCGAGAGGCTGAGGGGAGAGGATCACTTGAGCCCAGGAGTTTGAGGCTGCGGTGAGCCGTGATTATGCCACTGTACTCCAGCCTGGGCAACAGAGTGAGACCTGGCAAAAAAAAAAAAAAAAAAGAAAAAAGGATTTATAAATATATAGTAGCATTTACATAAGTACAGTAGCTTTTTGAGTTTTTTCATTGTTACTGTTGAGAAGCTGTTCAAATGCTGTCTAAATTTGAAGTCTAAGTATTTTTGAAGCAGAAAAAGAGTTGTGATTGAGGCTGGGTTAGGGGCCCAAGTCCTGTACCCTTGACTTCCTTGCCCCCCCCCTTGTCAGCCTCTGGGGTGGTTCTCAGAACTGCTTCTCTTATGGCCAGCTTCAAACCCATTACCTACAAAACAGCAAGGCTAATGAATCTTTCTTGAAACCGTGGCAGGCTTTTATTATTATTATTATTATTATATTTTAAGGATGTGGGGTACAATTCAGGATCAGCTAGATAAGTGGTCATTATATGGGTAAAGTTCGGGCCTCCCGTTGATCCCTACTTCGATAAAAATATACAGGCTTCGAGACCCGCCTGGGCAGGCGAGACCTCATCTCTACAATAAAATCAAAAAATTAACCGGGCGTGGTAGCGCACACCTG